CATAGTATGCATCATCAGTGAGTTTTGCCATTCTCCGCACCAAACTACAAACTTGTCAAAGAGACAAGTGAAGTCAATACATCGACAAACGTTCTGCCTGAAACGGTTATACTATCACTCCTCTTTCTGTCCTGGCCCATATATACACTCTTTACTCTCTAATCCCAATGCCGCCCTATCACAACTTCTCACTTGTTTGCATTCCACTCATCAAAATGTGTTCCCTTTTGTGGCAAATCTAGTGTGGCCTCATCACACTTACTATTTACCCCAATCCGGATCCCCTCATTGTCTCGTTGATCCGTTCCTTATCTTTCTGGTTGACCGATTTCACTCGGTTCCAGTCCCTGCATGCATTTCACTTTAGGCGCTATTTCTCAAGGCCCTAGAAGCACGTACACTGACACTTCACTGAGCAGAGCGCCTAAGCTCTAATTCCCATGCTTGCAGATATCAGACTTTTCCTTCACGGTTCCTCTCCTTGATTAAACCCATGTTATCTTAGCAAACGGTGGACGCCTATCTCTGGTCGCATGCGGCATCTCAAGTGGATTTCTAGTCTATTTTGTGCATAACGGTGAATTTCCGTAACGGTTTGCTTATCCGTCTTCCCAGCTCTCTGACTGTCGGGCCCCAAAAATTGTACCGGTTTATTCTAAATGCACATCACTCACATACAACGTCTTAGCTTTATTGTCGAAAACCCTTGTCCCTCCACTTTCTTCATCGCGTTCTATTTTCTTTCGGTTAGCGGTAAATCCTTGATCCAGGCATCTCATTCTTGCTGGTCTTGCTCTATTCTTGTTTTTTCCGAGTTTGCTTAGGCAGTAGGCAAATTTATATATAACTCTACCTTCGTCTAATCCCCTGTTAATTAGATTTCTCTCCCCAAGGATGTTAATGGCCTCCCTAATCTTCCGCTTACTTGTGTTGTCACCTTATGGGCTCTTTCTGTTGCCTTTCAATTGATTTGGTGTATAGTCTGTATGATGTGTTCCGCTAATTCTGATCTTTCGGTGTCCATTTTCCTGCAGAGCCTCTGATGTTTCTTGATTCGTGTGCTAATTTTTCTCCCTGTTTCGCCAATTTATTTCTATTCGCAAGTGCTGCATGATAAACAGTAAACTTCTGATTAATCCAATTTATCTACCCTTTCATGCTGCGTTGGTATACTTGTGAAAAGTGTTGATATCTTTTTTCCATTTACTTAATATTGCCGTAGTTTTTGAGTTAGTTCGCAGAAATTTAGGCATATCTACTTTTGTGAATCCTTCATCGTCCTTACTGTCCTTTCATAGTCTACGTTCTGCCATCGGCTTTTCACGGCCCGTGTGTTTCTTTGTATCACTTCGCTACCTATCGCCGTGATGATCATTAAGTGTTGTCGCCTTGGAAGCCACTTTAACTGAGCGTACTGACTTTAACTTAGGTTTCCTTATAATCCTAAACTTACGCAAGTTATTATCATACCGTTTTGTTATTAAGTCAGAAATCTTATTTGATTTCCTAAAAATCTTCCGGAGAAAGGATCCTGGCCAAATCACGCCGGAGCTTTGACTTAATATATATAAACTTAAACATCTTATAACGTTCATTATCATAGGTCTCACAAAGTTTCTGAATAGAAGCCTGATGGAGATACTAATTAACCCTATCCGAGTGGTAGGGTCTCTCAAGGTAACAGAATTTAGGAGTGATACAATATCGTTTACAACAGTTTAAAAGAGTAAGATATGCCATGGCAGAAAGAGGACTGATAATGTAAGCGTTTTGGCAGAACGTTTGTCGAGGGAGGGACTTCATTTGTCTTTATGACGAATTCGTTGCTTGGTGCGAAAAATGGTAATACTCACTGATGATACCGACTACGATGCCAGTGAAGCGTTGAGAATATACCAAGTCCACTGTCTGATGCTGGAAATCATGACAACTACTATGGCAGACGACTTCGGACTAGGTGTGTTCTACTAAGTCGTCCTGACAACAAGCCTAAGTTATGACAACGAGGTCAACCCACTTCTAGTACTAGTTTACCTTGTTTCGTTAAATTCTATGTTTTTTGATCTTATTGTATTATTCAGATTCCTTAGTTTCCCATTATTGATAAGGATTATGCATTTCTTTATTCTCCTTGATAAGCAATCTACTATAGCTTGGAATAAAAAAATATTATGATTTATTATTCGTTTACTTGGCATTGATTTTCTTTGCAACTAATAATTACAACTTAAATAACTTATTCTAGCAAAAACGAAAATTTGCATGCGCAACTTTTATTACGCATCGTTTTGTCTTGTTTTAATGCAATTTTATCTTAATATACTGATTTTGCTTCTGAATTCCCTTTCTATATTTTCTATTCCACTATTTGCATAATAGAGCTTAATGCCTCAGACCTGGCGGCCACAAATTCGGTTGAGAATTACAATACCGTTTTACTTGAGCTTCTCCGTAATAGCGCCCTTATGCGTACTGCCAGTCCAGCTGAAGTAGCTGCTCGCCGACAGCGCTGGCTGAGTCTGCCCTCACGCCTTGCTGGCGTAACTTCTTGGCCAAATTTCAGTCGTGTTTTTATGCTTTCATCGGCAACAGGTCGTGGGGTTTCTGATTTGCGAGTGCGTTACCTGTGTTTTCTTAAATCTTCAAAAAATAGTGCCAACTCGTTTAATCCGTATTTGTCATCTATCTTTACTTATATGCTATTTACTTTCACTTGAGTTCCCCATGCCTTTTTATTTAATATAGACACACGTGTATTATTAGTACATTTAATGAAAAACTTTTCGAATGAACGTTTATCACGCTTATCGTTTGGGAATGCTTACGATTATCTTTATGGGTTTGTTTGACTTGCCTGCTCATTTATAGGTCATTGTTCTTAACTTTTTAAGTTATAAACCATTCATTGCTAATATGTCTTTTGTTGTTATCCTTTCTTATCTTTTCTTTCTATATTTATCCTATAGAGTTATGCAAACAAACTCTCAATAAAATGTTTTACTTCGAAAAGGATAAATTTCACGCTTTTATTAAGCGATATTTATGTTCCTATGATGCAATATAACTGAAATGATGATATACAGAAGCTGATTCTCCATAGTTATAAAATTTGATCCGATTTAGTTTATTATATTAAGGTCTGTTTAATTAGTTTCGCTGTACCACTTGGTCAAATGGAGTTACATAGACGACGACTCGAGTTTTTGATAGGATAAGTTATCTGATGAAATAACTTTTCGCAAGTATTTAAAAAAGCTCTATACAAATTGCAAATGAACAGATAAAGAAGTAATATATTATGACTGAGTAGGTCTTTCGTGCTGTGAGGCTAAGTTAGGTTTATTTATATTGTGAGACCCACAGTAATCTCATCTATTAGACTTTGAAACCTCTGTGGGATTTCTAACCCGTTAAGTTCTAATAAATCAAAGTGGATGATGACAACTGTCTTGTTTGTGTGATTTGGAAATTGACAGCTCTTAGATCTACTTCGGAAAATAATATTTCTGCTCTTTAGAGCTAAGGTTAGGGCCACGCCCGTGACACATGACAGAGGATATGCCTGTGAAACAGTTACCTTTGGGATATATTCACCTTATTTCGTCCAAGATGATGAAGGACTGGCATTTGTATTTTTCTAAATGATATTAATAGAGCTGACCTTTATTTATTTTCTCATAGCCTTGCTTTCTAAAAGGTGTCCTCATATAGGTTGGACTGCAGGTTCGACCTCGCCTAGGTCAGCTAGGTTACCGTTGTGTATTCTCATATCACCACAAAGACTCCATTCATTCTTATCTTTATTTTGGACCAGATAAGGTTTGTACATCAGAGGAATTTGTGATGGGCAAATATAATACCATTAAATGTAACGACGCAGAGATCACGTGAGTGCGTGACTGATCTTGATTCTTTACTTCGGCTCGTGCAATCAAAGCTTGGCACCACGTCGTCCAATCAGAAGTTGACATGGAAAACTGCGCAAGGTTATATTATATTATATGTATATAATGTGTGCCAAACCCACGAACGTTGTGGTTCATCATTGAACCTAATCAAAGCAAGCAAGTACCACAGCATTTGTGGGTTGGCACACAAGAGACTAGAGCATGACAAGTCATAGACTTGTTATTAGAGATAAAAACAGGATAGACGCGGCGGCGATTGGAGCTAGTTGGCTGACAGTAGGTTTTACAAGAGACGTGGTCCATGTTGCAAAGTTATGACAATGAGACTTACTCAGAGACTCAACCCTCGAATTAGTCACCCAGACTTAGGGGATAGCGAATAACGTCTCGAGTAGCACAGAGGGGGGGGGGCAAGAGTTGAGTGAAATACGTATACCAGGGAGATAGTAGACGGATTCTACGGGGCGAGGGAGACTCTGATAGGACCCAGGGAAGGACTACGTAACAATATGACAAACTCTGGTCAACATTCCCAGCACAGGGTGAAGGAAGTAAGAACGACAGCGTGGTGTGTAAAGAGTTTTCAGGAATGCCGCTCAAAGGAGTGCACCACACTACATCAAAATAAGCACAGTAAAAGTTTTGACAGGGAAGGCTTGATAGGAGGATATTGGAAATGTAAATAGCCCAGGGCAGAAGGTGAGATACCACAACTGTTTAGCACACGTTTGGTCAAAGGATGGGCTTCACTTGTCTCTGAAGAGCTGTACTATGGTGTTACGAATCGCGAGACTCACTGACGATGCTGGCGAAACGTATGGGAAAGTACCACGTCCACGGTCCAACTTTGGAGATGACCATGCATACAATGGACTGCGGACTAGGTGCGTTTCTCTAAGTCTTCCTAGCAATGTGACCAAGTTGCGAAAACAAGGTTAAACAACTTCTTTATAATATCCTGTTTAAATTGGTAACGTTCTTTTCCTTCTTCCTTCCCTCCGCTGTGGCCCTCGAGTTTTAGAGTGTGATCTTTCTTGGTATTACTATTTTTTCTTTTCTCTCTTCGTTTCGAAGCCTTTATCGTTGAGTTGTAGAGAGCAAGCATTTTAGATTTCGGGGACAGTCCATCGTGTTAGGAACACAAGGCTTTTAAACAAAGATTAGGCTGCCTTGAGTTTTTCCGGGGACATTTTAAGTGAACGATGGAAGACCAGACGACCAGTTTTATCGATATAATTCATTACTGTGTGGTTAGCTGCATCTCTGAGAATAACATATTTGTTTATGATAGAAAACTTGCCAAGCAGCTCATTCCTGGTTGAATTGTCTGTTTCAAGCACTTGGTAGGAGTAGTATGGAAAAAAATTTTTTGTATGTCCAACGATCGGCACATTTCACGAACGTTTTAATACTATTCTTTGACTAGTCTTAGAGTAGCAAACTAATAAATGTGCTTAAGTGATCCATCTTATTTTAATGTTATTTTATGCATTTGCGCACTCAATAAAGTGTCTCTATCTGTGCTTAGTACGAGATTCTAAAGTATTTAACTTTTGAAATATCCCTTTAAAATAATTTGTTGACTACATACTTTGGATCGCAGCTATAAAGTTCATGATCGCATTCTCATTTAGCTGTATGGTATTAGTTTGAATTCGTTTTCTCGAATTTATCGCAGCGCTAAGGAAATCTTTTGGAAGATGGCTAGTCCTTTGTCCTCTGCCATACTTTAATCCTGCCAATTATAATGATTAGCTTATTTCTCTCGTTACTCTACATTTATTTGTGGACTCCCCCTTCGCAAGATCTTGACCTTTATTTTGATATTTTGATTTCACTAGGCCATTCAGGACATCGTATGTTTTAGTAGAAGTTGGTATTCAAACTAATAAGAAATTGAATAACTTAATCTATCATTTTACTGACCTATCCACCTACATTTTATTATATTCTGAAATATATTCTCTGCTGCATATTTAATTATACATTTATAAATGCTATTCTAAATTTGCTAAAGCTGCATTCTCTGCTGGATATTTTTCATGTTTTTATTGTAGGATTATTTACTCTCACGTGCAAAGCCAGTGGTCACTTTCCCCTATCCACCCTGTTTAGTTACAGAGCATGACTCCCCCACCCTTGTTAGCATGTGTCTTCGTGCTGTCTGTCTTGAGAGTTTAACGCATCCGGGCATGGAAGATGTTGCTTATCGACTTCGCTTTGCTGTTGATGAGTGTGAAACTGGACCGCGTTCACTTTTTCTCCAAGGGACACCGAAGTATTCCTCCAGTGAAACCTCTTCAGACAATGAAATCGGTGATGAATTAGAAAATACTGCTTCTCTTATCGCTTGCGTAAAGCAAGGTAATATTAATGGGGAAGCTAAAGATTTGGAAACATTTAAAAGTCAATCAAGTGAGGATGTTGTATTCGTTCGTGCCAAAATATTATGCCAAACAGAACGACATCTGGTACGTAGCTTTGACATATTTTTTCGATATTTGACTTAACCATTATGTGGCATCTTTCCTTTTGTTATTAATGCTGTCAAGATATCTATTTATAATGTCCTATAAAGTGGAAAATGATTAGTGTCAGGTTAAGTTAGAATCTTAATTGGCCAATCCATTATTTGGCAACAAGCTGTTCCTGTCATATCGCTACTATTTGTTTTTATCTCAGAAAAGTTATACTTGTAAATTCATACCTATACTTAGTCGGATATATCAGATAATCTTGCGTCACAAGAAACATCTAGCCAAAAGCCGTAAATTTTGGTCTCCAGAGCCGTTTGTTGATGGGTGGCTTCTAGCACTTTTGCATTGTTGTCCCATTGCTGGCATCTTTGAATGTTTTTAAGACCCTATCTTCAAGTAGGTCTAATATGATGCTTTCCACAGTCAATAAGAGTCTTTTTCGGCATATTCGAGTAAAATTCGCTCGCTATTTTCTAGTTTTTACGGTGATGATTCAGCTATTCGAGTGGTTTATCTCATTTTGATGTAATATATATATATATATGTCTTTTTTAGAGTTACGTCATTGGTACTCGGGGCATCAACATTCATCTAATTTCTCAGGCTTTGAAACACGAATTGAGCACTTTATTCAACAAAGATGTATTGCTCGAACTGTCAGTTAAAATGGGAAGGATTCCCAAAAAAGTCTTATCTGAAATGCGAAAATCTGATGATTTTTCTTCTGTATTTGCTTCCTCATAACATATATTATTTTCAAAAAATGTACAATTGATGCATATTTATTTTATCACTTGACTTCTTAAATGAAATAGCGTCGGAAACCAGCAGTCTTCTGTTTATCATATGATATGCATTCTTATAGCCTAATTTTCCGAAGTTACAAGGTCCAAAATAGTGTGGCCTTCTTTCGTTGTATAGAAGTGGCTTAGCGTCGTATTTCCAGAGAAACCTAGGTAAGCGCATCTTTTCGGGAGTCCTCTTCCATAGTAGGTATATTAATATATAATGTCGAACACTCCTTGCAGACTCTCTTATCCCCCAAATATGCTGGACAACTTGTTCGATGATAAGTGAGTATATTTGATATCAAATGTTTGAGGCAGATCGTAGGATTAACGCCTCGCGTATAACATATAGAGTGGCAGTTATCGGGTAAAATCCATATGCCAAGAAGAGACCTATCTTACAGGGTAATAGGCTCGTTGAACTTGTAATGACGAGTTGGATCAACTGCAAATAGGTGGATCAGGGAAGAAGCGCAGAGTAAATGGGATTGGTTGATGTATCAGAACAATGGAGATACTACAGTATTTATAAAGAAATAGGCTTAAGTTATATGTTGCCAGTTGTAGTTTTAGGTTAATAGTTCCAAGCCTCATTCACGACGCCAGAAATTGCGCAGAATGTGCTAAGTTCGACGCCATAGTTTATGGCTTATATGGCGGGAGACCTCAGACAAGATGTGCTCTTCTGGGTCTAACAACAAGACAAAATTGCACCGATTTTTGAAGTCGTTTGCCCTTGTTTTCGCAACTCTAGGAAGACCTAGACGAACGTACCTTGTCCTGTATCCATAGTATGCATTATAATTTCCAGAGTAAAACTCATAACAGGGACAAGTGAACCCGACCCTTTGATTACTTATATGCTAAATAATTGTGTTATCGCTCCTACCCTGGACTATTAATTAATCCTACATCCTCGTATCACCTCTTCACTGTCACAATTTCCTATTTAAATGTGGTATGGTGTGCCATTTTGAGCGAATTTCATGATAGCTCTCCACGCCACATACTGCATTTTTAACCCCTTTCATCCTTGTGCTGGGATTGTAAATCAGAGTATGCCGTATTACTCCGCAAAAAGGCAATCAGACTCTCGTGCCTCGTAGCATCCGTCTCCTATCTCCCTTTTTCAGGTATTACATTTGGCTCCTGCCGTCCTCGAAGCGTTATTTCCCATACTACTTCAAGCTTTTGATGGCACATGTACTCCCGGCCCGCTGTGTAGGCCATCTTAAGCTGGATGAGAGAACAACTTGAGGCTATAGATCCCGAGTAATTTTCATGGTCAAGCCTTTGCTTCATGGACTTCGCCTATGATCAAACACGTCTACTGTTATCCAACTAGCTCTAGTCTCCGCTGCATCTGTTGTGCTTGTATTCATAATGCTAAGTCTATTACGTCCTATGCCGTAGTCTCCTATGTGCTAACCTATAAATATCGTTGTTTTTCTTGCTTTAAATAGGCTTATTGTAGACGTCTCTTGGTTTCAGATTCTTCCTTTCTGGTCTCTTGATTTCTTTTCCTAAAACTACAGATTTTACCTTGAAACATTCGTCTTATTTTTTCTAATCTTAACGTTGCCTAATCTTCTAGTTTGGGTAGTATGCAAAATTTCACCGATCTTGCCTTCTTCAAGTCTTCTGTTCATTAGATTTCTCTCAGCATATCGATGATCCATCAAATCTTGCGTTTTCTCGTATTTTCACCATATTCAACCAGCCTATACGTCGATTTCGTGTCCCATCGGTGTAATCTCTTCCGCTATTTTGAATCTTTCTATATCCATATTTCTACAGAGTCTTTGATGTTCCTTGTTTCGTAGGCAGATTTTTCTTCTTTTACCAATATACTTCTACTAACAGTTGCCGAATTTGATGCGATATACGCCTAAGCAACCAAATTTGTCAACCTCGTGTTGCGTCAGAAAACTCGTGAAAAGTGTTGTCTTCTTTGCTATTACCTTTATGTTCTATTTTCATAGTAACGGTCGCAATATTTAGCTAAGTTCACATGAGGGCCAAAACAAGGTAAAAGAAGGGAGACGGCGACCATATAAAAAACAATATCATTTTGGTTTCATAATTTGATCAAACTAAATATTTTCTTGAATTTTTAATTTGCTTCCTATGCTTAAATTCAATCTCACGCAATTGTCTTCTCTTTTTATCCGTTTGTCCCTTAATTGACCTATTCCTTGTGTCATTTTCTTATTTTCTTGTTGCATCTGTCCATTTTTTACTAAGCAGTAAAGAACACTTAATTTTATTTCTTTTAATTTTGCATTCGCAACATCATTTTAAATAAAATGTTTATCGCCTTTTAGCTCTTCCCTTCCCTTATGCTTTTTAATATGACAATTTCTTATAACTAGATTTTTGTCGATGTTTCGGTCGATTAGTGGTGTGTATCTCGCTTTCTTTAATCCCTCATTTCCCCGATTCTGCGTTTGATGGTGCCATTAAATTCTTGTATTAGTTTCCATTTCGCCTACACAATATTTTTTTCTGTGTTACTTAAAAGGATGTACTAAACAAGAGTAATCTAAGGTCGGTCCCACCAGAAGACGACGGCAGATTCCTCTTGACCAACTGTCGATTGGCTTTACTGCTGGCGCTGTTTCCGATGCAATCTCCTTCAATTCTAATCAAAAGGTGCTAAGCTTTCGTCCGTCATATGACGGACATCATCAGAGCAAGGTAACGTCGTCACAACAAAATTCAAGCAAACGAGTCAAGAAAGCTCACCGGCAAATCCCTAAAAGTGGTATATATACTCTACATCTGGCCTCCTCGATCAAGTATAAAGTTATTTGGTTAGTTAAGGTCATATGTCAACTTTGATGCATGTGAGTGTGTCTGTCTCTATATTTGTATGCGCATGTTTGTGTTTTCTTCTGCGCTAAACCCGAAGTAATTGCTCAAGGTAATTAGGACAGCAAAAAAGAACGTCTGTTTTCGGCCATCAAGGTTTGATGATCCAATCTCCCCCTTTATACCTTTGAGTTATAACCATTACTCTGGTTGCGCAAGGTCAGACACGTCTGGTTTTGTTGATGAGCCTACTTTTGTTTTTGGTCTCAATGCGAGAGAGAAACAGTGAGCTAAAAGGACATAGAATTAACTTTCATTAGAACCCAAACAAGAAAAGACTAGTTGCGTCGCCTCCTTTTTGCAGGCTATTCAACTCCCTCTATCCTTCAGTCTATTAATTAAACACAAATAGTTTTTACTTATCTTCTTGCTAATATTGCTGGTATTCTTGCTGTTGTTTATTAGATTTGTGTCCCGAAGGATGTCAATGGCCTCCCTAATCTTCCGCTTCCTTGTGTTGTCACCGTATGGAGCTTTCCATTCTGTTGCTTTCCAATTGATCTCGTGTCCAGTCCGTGCGATGTGTTCCGTTAGTTCTGATCTTTT